GAACCAATCCAGAAGACAAGGAAACTCCTGGATCAGTACCCCCAGAGGTATTGATTTGTTGTGGGAACATGGAGGACTTTGAGACTCTGCAAATTTAACGCGCATTAGTCACCATTTACTACGTGTTGAGTCGTCGGCCGGCGAAGATCGAACCCACGACCTATGGGACGTGGGCCCAGTGTCCTACCAGCCAGGCTATCTCGGCCTATCTTTGACGATTGGTACATCTCAAGAATACATGATACCTATCTTGCTAAAGTATTATGTGGGTAAGCTTTACAATGTAATGATTAAAGGTAAACCTGTAGATAATTATTAGTTCAAAAAAGTATTAATTTTTGCTTCATAATATACATTTTATTGTTTGGTTTATTTTAAGTAAAGTTTCCGTTCTCAGTCAAATCCAACCATATCACTATGAGTGAAAAAAAGCGGAACTTCACCAGTAATGGTGCTTGGTTGAGAACTTTATTAAATTTGCAATAAAGTGAGTTGAACCATCTTATGCAATTTGCCGAGAGAATACTTTATAAAAAAATTGATAGTTTAGTATAGGGTACCCTGTAGGAATAATATGTCAGGCATAACCTTATAAAATTAAACCACAAAATATGTGAGGCATATAAATTTAGCATTTTTTAAAGGAAAATATTTTTCTTTCTGGGAGAAAAGACAATTAGTTTATAATGAATCTCAAACTTGCAGTCAATTAAGTTTATAAATAATAAATAAATTATTTTTCATTAGCTACCATAATAATAAGATATTTTGTTTGACTTTAATAATTTTGACCCTCAAGTTAAAAATAAAATATTTCAAATTAAATATTTTTAAGGAAACTGATTTATTTTAAAGAATTGAAAACAAGTCGGATACAAAGTATTTAACTATTTTTCTATGAACTTTAAATATTTTCTATATTCATTTTATTTAATAAAATTGATTTCTTTTTCAAAACAAATTTCAGGAAGGAAAAAAAATAATTTTTTCTTTTCATGTCTGAATCAGCACGGTCACTTAAGACCACTCGCTCATACTTCAAAAGATTCTTAAGTGCTTGCAAAAGTTCTTCTTATTCTTTATTATTCCAGGAAAACTTCTCCAAGTCTGAAAACCTAAAAGACGGAAAAAGAAAAGGAAAAAAAAATATTAAGAAGAAGAAAAAAAAAGAAAAAAATCAACCCACACCATCTTTTCTCCAAAAATTGATTTTCACTTTTCCGTTCGAACCGAGAGAACGTTTTTGCTTCAAGAAATGCAAATTAATGAGTTTCTTTAATGAAAAGGAGTCTTCAAGAACGAAAACTGTTGGTACGAAATTAATGAAAAAAATAACAGAAGCTCTTTCGATCGACTCTGGGCACAAAACTGGAAAGAAGCTTCCCCCCCAAACACTCCTGCCCCCCGATTACTGTGATTAATAGTCAAAGGCCAGAACCTTCTTTTATTAATTTACCGAAGAAAATGTTGAATTTCTTGGGATTTTAAATGTCTGTCCATTGATTACGCTGGTTGTGGACGTTCTAAAATGCCAAATTATTTAGCGGCTAATACTAGCTGGTTCTTTTTTACTTTTTTTTTTCCACCTTCATTTTAGTTTATGCCCGGGCAAAGCTTTTGTTGTTACCCCGGTATTACCATTTTATTTCCATCGACAGCGTTGAATCTTTGCAGATGGAAAAATTTAATCAAGCTGAGAGGGAAAATGCGTAATAAATTAGAACGTCGACGAGGATTTCTGTTTTCCTAATCTGTGCTGCTTTATACGGTTTTTTTTGTTTTCCGTGCGGAAACTCCAAATTAACTAGGCACTTGTTAGAGAATAAAGAATGAATCTAGAGAGTGAGGTCAAAGCGTGAAGAATGCGAAGACATTTATTACTAGAACTTAAGGCTTAATTATCTGCTTTTTTGGTATTTTGTTATTAATCTGAATTTAAATATTTTGTTGGCAATTTTTCGAAATCAGTCTCAACGATGGATTTTATTTTTAAACTGAGGTTTCTGGTTTTAAAATCAAGCCGACGATCTTTTGTTTTAAAACGGGCTTTTCTTAGCTGTTTTCGTGTTACTTGAGTGTTAGCTAAAAACATCAGTCACCTGACTCTTTCTATATTTGCACCATTGCTGACGAAACTAATTCATAAATGGAGTATATTCACCTGAGCTTGGTGTAAATACGTTAAGGTGAGTATGTGTGCTCGATTCGGCAACAACTTCAAATAGCGCACTGTTTTTACGGTGTATAATTCTTATGCCGGTTACACTACAAAGCTGGTACATAGTCAATATTTCGATGAAAGATCATTGTCAATAGCTGAATGACAGATCATTGCTTTTGACTGTGTGAGAGATTGTTAATTCCCGGGTAAACGATAATTGTCTATGCTTGATGAGAAATCATTGCTAATATCAGGATAAGAAATCACGAAATCATTGATATCTGGATGAGAAATCATTGTTAATCCTTGGAGGAAAGACCATTGTCTACAGCCCCTGACCAAATTATTTGACGCACTGTAAGATTCTATAAAGGCCGTAGCCAGGATATTTTTTCGGGGGGGGGATATGGTAAAAAGCAAGGACAGTTTCAAACATGCAAAGTAGGGGAAAAACATTGTAACAAATATTGTTCATGCTGTTGTTTGCAAAAGTTAAACTAGCAATTAAAAAATATTACATAATACTTATTTTTCAATTAATATTACATAATAATTATAATCAATTTGTGAACAAAGTTTACAAAGACATGCGACAGGGATTTGAAGAAAATTTTTAGATTACTTTTTTCGGACAAGCCAGAATATCCCGAAATATGTTTAATAAAGTTAGTTAATAAAAGGTTTGATTCGACAGTTTTTGTTTTTCTTTTTACTGAGAGGCTCAAAGAAAGACTAAAAAGTTTGAATCCCAGAATTTGGGGAGGGGGGATTTGTCCCGTCGCCCCCCCCCCCCTGGCTAC